AAGAATGTGCAGGGAAGGGAAGCTGCTGCTGCTGCAGGGAGGGCTCTGGCTCAGCCACTGTTGGTGTCCCCATCCCGTACAGGTGGTGCTGCCTAAAGCCCTGTCTGTCCTTTGAAGGGAGAAGGGGATTAAAGGAAAATTAACCTGRTTCTTCCAGAAACAATTGAGAATCAATTCTGAGTAACCAGGTGGTGTACATGTTTTATCCATACCACTTGTAAGTCTTTGCCTTAGACCCCACAAAAGTGGAGATCAGAAATCAAACTGGTGAATGTTACGAAGCATCCCTCCCAAAAATGTTGGAAGATGTTTAAATCAACCATCTGGGTCTATTTCTTGCCTGCCTTTCATGCTTCTGATGGTGTGAGATGATTTTCAGGGTGAAAAGGTAGCTTTTAATACCCACAAAAATGCACACCTTTTTTTGAGTGCTCTCTTGGAAACCTCCTTTGTCAGAGGAATCCCATATTCCCTTCTGACCCCAAGRAGCAGGATGCAGCCTGAGCAGAGGGATGAACAACCCAGGCACCAAAGCATTACAGCTACATGAGGAATTCATTGGCAGCTGTGAGCAGCCTATGTTGGTTTGGCAAAGTTTGGATGTAAAGTACTTTTGCAATACCATGCAGCTTTCTAATTGCTGGAAAAACCTTAATCATGCAGTTCTTTCAGTGGTTTTTGCAAGAAAAACTATGCTTGAGATTCTCATATAAAAAAAAGCATCTCACATTCACAGATAGCTGAAAATTATCCTGGTCTTTGTTCCAATCAGCTGTAGAAGTGTCGACTGGTACTTACAATTTATAAACTACCTGGACAGTTGAGTTTATTGACATAATTATGCCTAATTACCTTTTCTCCAGTTCCTTTGAGACCACRGGCCCCAGAGCAGGGGTGCCAGGGTGGGGGTTCTGGGTGAGTGTCTTTGGGTCASTTAAAGCCCGTGGCTGTCCTGGAGCCCTGACAGCAATTTCCCATCCTGGTGTGCCTCACACTCTCCTGGGAGCAGAGAAGGGCAGTTTCTGTGAGCAGCTGGAATTTGGGCTGGCACACGTGCTTTGTGGGGTTCCTGGGTGTGCTCTTTGGGGTGGCAGCCCTGCTCTTTGGCTGAGGGGGACCATCCTCCAGCTTCACCCCAAAATCTGCTTTGCCAGAGTTGAGAACCTGCTGGTGCCCTGGCTGCTGTGGCTGATGCTGGGGGTGGTGGAAGGGCTTTGAGTGGAGATTTCCTGAGGAGTGAGGGGTCCTGCAGGAATCCTGGGGGTGCACACAGCAGGCAACAGTGACAGCTCGAGCAGCAATGGCCAAGAATGTACATTTGCTGGACAGGCAGCCCTGTCATCCATGGGGAGGGCTGTGGCCAGGTGACACCAGCTGTCTGGTGGCAGCATCAGCACTGCTGGATTTGCCTGGCAGGGTTAGGAGAGGGATTTGGGCAGAGCTGAAGCTGTGGGAGCAGGTCACCAGCTGCAGGAATGTGTGTGGCACCCRGTGTGACTGGGTGGCTTTGGGGCAGCCCCCATGGCACTGGGCTGTGGGGCAATCTCAGGGTTTTCTCTGCTTCACCCCTGGCAGAACAGAGAGCCCCAGAATCGTTTAGGGAGGAAAAGACCTCTGAGATCATCRAGCCCAACCATTAATGCAGCATGGCAAAGTCCTCCATGGAACCAYGTCCCATGTGCCACATCTCYACATCTTTTAAACAMCTCCAGAGAGGATCCAGCCAATTCCCTGGACAGCCTGTTCCAGGGCTTGACWATTCTTTCAGTAAAGAAATTTCTTCTGATGCCAAATCCAGGGAAGGCTGTGGGCAGCAAGGAAAGTCTCCTACTGAGAATGTGGCTGTGGCTCTGCCCACACCTTTGATCCTCAAATCCCTGAGGATAAAAAAGAGGGTCTTGGATGTGCACATCCTGCAATYTCAGTCAGATGTGCCAGATACAGATTGATAAGGCTTTGCAAAAATAAGCCCTCAAAAGTTATCAAGTATTGTCATAACAGATGCTGATGCCATSTTTATCCCATAAGCAGCACCTGCTGTCCCAAAGCTGTCTGGCTCTCAAGCTGTGCAGCAGAGCTGCAGGAACTGTTTTGTCCCAGGCTGCACAGAGGGATGCCAAAGCACCACATGGAAAGGCAGCAGCCTCACACACTGTTCTCCTTTCCTGTCACCTCCCATTGCACCTCTGCCTCTCATCCCCCAGCTCCATCTCGTGACCCCACAGTGATCTTCCTACTGAGGGAATATCCTCAGTTTCATACTAAGCCCCCAAATTGTGCAATATTCCCTGGTTTATTTGCAGACAAAACTCGGTCACATCAGAATTGTGGGTGTTGGCCAGTGACTTTTAGGCTCACCAAAATGAAGCCTCAGGCCTGAAAAAACTCATGATCTGGGAAATTTAATAATTTTAAGGCAAGCTCTGTCACGATGTTTTCAAGTTTACTAAGAATTTAAATTGTGAGGGGTACAAATCCTTTCTGAAAGCACCTGTGTTGAGATGAAGCATCCCAAAGGTCTGCCACAACAGCACRTCTGATGTGTCTTTCTAGAGAAATCCTACAAATAATCCCCAACACCTTTGGATGAACTCAATCTGAAGTTTACACTCTCTAAGGTTAATAATACATGATTGTACTTCTTTTAGCAAAAAAGCAATTTTTCTAGTTTTACTATGTTTATATTGGATGTGCAACAGTAGCTTCTGTGTCAGTCTTTTCTTCTTTTTGCTTGTTTTRAAAGGCAAAAAGTTGTTTAAAATAGAGATCCTTGCCCAGATTTAGTGCAGAAAAATCCTCCAGTGATTAAAGATCTCAGTAACCCAGGTGTGAACTTACAGATGAAGAATTACTTTTGAAGTTGTGTGTACCATGCATTACAAATGATGTCAACACACCGTTCTTCATTTCACTCCAACTGCAGCTGTTGTCTCCCAAAGGAAAGTTTTTCATAGGTTTGATTTACCTTTCTAATGCAGTGCTTTGCTTTGATGTGCAGCACAGGGTAAATTGTTCCATTTGGACTGCTCTGTACCTGTGGGGAACAGAGCAGAATCATGAATAATGAATAAAATCTTTCCAATGAATGGTGTTCAGTGAGATCAGASGTGGTGAGGAAAGGCCACTCCCCACTCCTCCCCTCTTCCTTTCATTCCAAGAATGGAAAAAACCAATATCTGAAAAGACAGCGATGCCTTTCAGGCCAGCATGTTTAAAAAACGCCAGAAATTAAGGTTTGAAAGGCAAAAGAAGTATGTGAAAGGTTAAACYAAAGGTTAGGAGAGTGTCTGAAGCTGTTAATACTGCTCTTTATGCAGGCAAACAGCCGTGCAGTGAGCACTGGCAGTGATGTGCAGGCAGGGCAGACCCTTTGAACTAAAGGTGTCCCAAAATGAAGAAAATTTTTGGTGAGATATCAGGGGCTGAGCCCCCAAAGCTCAGCACTGAGAGCCCCACTGTGCCATGGGCTCCTGCAGGGTGAGCTCTGTGCTCCCCTGTCCTTCCCAGATTCCATGTGGGAGTGCCAGGCCCAGAACAACTGCAGGGACACATCCAGAAATGGGATTGCTGGGGCAAGACAGCACCACATTTCCACGCTCTTGTACTCCCCCAGTGCTTCCCTAGAAATCAGCTGAGTGGTGCATTATCCAGGAAAAGCTTTTAWAGCTCACSTCTCCTGCTCAGCAGCCCTGACACRGGGAGAGCTCAGGGGACAGGCAGGATCCTGTTTAAATCAGAGCTGTGCAYGCACAGTCAGATTTTCTTTTCTTCTCTGTGTAGCTGCAGAGTTCACCTTTCCTTATGCAGCTGGAAGACTCTTATGAGAACTCCAGGACCGGTGCATGTGGAAAAATTTCTCTTCTCAAAAAAAAAAATAAATATATATATATGCTTTCAGTGGAGTTGAGCCTCCAGAAACAGGAGAGGGCTCACACTACGTGACCAGACAGCCTTACATGAACCAGCTGCAAGCATTCCACGGCCCAGAAGCCACAGTTTAAAACCTCTTATGCAGAGCTGACCATAGGAAATACTCATGAAAAAGAAAAATATACCCGAGTTCCATGCTCCATTCATAGCCAGGCAGCTCCAGTGCAGTGTGGCAATTGAATTTTTAAGTTAGCAGCAATAATAACAGAAAGTACAGGCTGCCAGTGCTTCTAAAATGGTTATTCTTGATTGCTGCCTGTGCTGAGACTTAGGATGCCTTTGGGCCAGGATGCAMAATAATTCAGTTTGTAATTCCTTGAATAAAAATTGCAATTCAATATTAGAACAGTCATTTTAATGAAGAAGCCACTGGCTCAAAGTCAACTATCCTAAATGTTTGGATGATGACCAGAATTACCAGGTTTTTGAATAGCACTTCTTTGAAATGACTGTATAATCCTGATCAACTAATAATCTTGTCACTTGGTGCACTTGATGTACTTGATAATGTGCATCTAGGTGTGGGTGCCTAATTCACCCATTAAATAATAAGAATTACTTGATATTTGTAAATCATAATGAGACATCTGAATTGAAAGACAAAATGCAATTTACTAATGAAATAGTTGCTCATCTGATATGTACACAATTCATTTTTCCTTCAGTCAGGTGTTGCCTTGGTTTCCCTTTGTAGAAGAAAACCATAAAACYCTCTCTAAAGGTGAAAGCACCAAATAGTGAATATTCAAGTTCTCTCTTTTGCTAGCACAGCTTCTACAGCAAGATACAGTGTGCAATGGCTTTTCCTCCTTTCACCTTGCTGACTGCCAGCTCTGAATTTCAGGTCAGCTSTTTTGCAGGGTTTCTGGTTCTGCTTCTGCAAAGCTGGGGAGATTGGCTGGGTGCTTTGAACAGCCTGGGAAGACAAGGACACAAATTTATTTTTAAATAAAGTGTGAGTGCTTAATTCATGACATCTTCTTGTTCTATGCAGAGAGATCCTTTAAAATTATAACCCACTGAGTTCTCCCACTATTCCCATACTCAGTCYGTATTTGCTTCTCCCTCAGGTACTGTCTAGCAGAAAACCATGGGCAATTTCAAAGGCCATGCCCTCCCTGGGAGCTTTTTCCTTCTTTTYGGCTTATGGTGGTCAGTGAAGTACCCACTGAAGTACGCCTGTCGAAAAAACAAGAACGTTTGCTGCCTTGGTTCCAGGGCAGGATTCCAGCGCCTGGAGTTTGTCGAGGGCATCATCAAAGCTGCCTTTGCCCTCATTGGTAAGTGRGGTGGACTAAGGGCAGACTGTACCTTCCAACACTTTTTTCTTTAAATTTTGTTCTCTGATGAGATGGATCTCCTGTGTTTTGCTTTTTTTTCCCTTTAACCACCGAGAGGTGTTGGGGCTGCTTTCAATCACACTCTTGTGGTTGTAATGTGGTTTCCATCCCATTTCCATTCCTCCTCTTCTGGAGCTGCTTTGAGGTCTCCAGACCACTCTTGACCACTCCTGACCACATCTCAGTGCTCATGAACTGTTCATCAGGGAGGGAGATATAAGATATTTAAGTGAGGAGCTCTCCTGTGCACCCTGGGAGCACCAGACTGTGAAGGTGTTGCTTTTCTRTTTTAAATCCAACCATCTCAGATGTCAGATGTCTCAGATTTATTTATAAAATCCGTAAATAATGCAGACGATTTTTTTAATTAATGCCAGACAAAAGAGAAAATATTATAACATATATATATATACACACACACACATATATATATATATATATATATAAAATATATGTTAAATTTCAATTCCAATCAATAATATGGACAAGAAGACTTGCCGAAGACAGACAGCAGAGGCATCAGGAGTAAAACCTGCTGTTTCCATGTTAGGAAAACTTGAAATAAAGGTGGAAAACCACTGCAGCTTATCTACTGATACAACAGGATGCCAGCCTATGCTTTATAARCAATATAATTAGCTTTAATATTCTAAAAGCATTATAACTTTTGAACCCTTCCCAAACTTATTGATCATAGAAAGCATTTAAAAGCAGTTTTCCCTTGCTGGAGTAGCTCAGGTAGTGAGCAAGACACCGAGGGGCCAATGTAAGGGAGAGAGAGGAGCAGTGATTCAAATATGAACCCCCTGTACATTCCCATGGGACCCTTAATAACTCTGCAGGATGGAGGGGTTTCCTTTTATGGCTTTAGAGGAAAAAATCTCCTTTGAATTAAGAGTCTGAACTCTGTCATCCTGCATGTGGCAGTGAAATGGTAAATCTTTCTTTTGGAGGCTTTAGCATGTGTTGTGCTCATGTTTAAATCATTGGGAAAGGCAGCTGAAAAATTTGGTCGGAGCACTACTACAAAAGAAATTGTTTAAAAGAAGAAAAAGCAGCACAGAATAGCTGTTTTCATTTTCACTGCTGGAAGCTGAAAGATGCAAATRGTTCCACCAGGAGTGGAGCTGAGGCCCAATTTCCTCTGGCTTTCCACTCCCCAGATTATGTGATGCCAAAACCTCAGATTTACTGGCATTATGCTGCATGGGGATGTATTGCTACCTCTACTGTTTGTATAAAGGATTGTCATCCATTTATACCTTCAGCACCAGAACAAATGCTTGTTCTTCTTATTTCATGGGCAGGAATGRTGGCTGAGCAGTTTGTTCCCGATGGACCTCATCTGAAGCTGTACAACTACGAGAAGAAGCACTGGGATCACCTGATGAACTGGCAACATGCCACCATGTACCTCTTCTATGGCATTTCAGGGCTGGTGGACATTGTGGCCCATGGGACCAACGCACTGCCAGCAGCCATGGACAGGATGATGCTTTCCTTAGCAGTCTTTATTGAAGGTCAGTTCAGCTTTCCCTGCAGAGAAGAGCATCAATTGGGTATTGGTGTTTGGTCTGGGAATCTAAAATCAGCCTTAGACAATGGGAGCTGGGTGTTTCAYTCCCTGAAACACTTCAAAGAAATCAGCAAAAGGTCAGTCTTTGCTCTCCTCAAACTGCTGAGGCTTTGTCTGCAACGCAGATCATGGCCACACATCGTAGAGGTGGATCTGTGCTTTCCTAACTGGCTCAGACAGCAGCAGAAATGTGAAAAGGGCAGCAAAAGCCTGCTTTGGGTAAGTGCTCAGTAGCTCAGGCACGTGTTTGCTGTGGTACTGCCATGTGAAATACCAGTTAGCTACAGCCAGCGTGAGGGAAGGTGGCACTGGCATGAAGGGAATTGCCAGAAATGCTTCACTGTTTTCTAAATGCAGATGCAGGGAAATTGCGAGGGAAGAGAAGATCTTAAACTGATCACAATTTATTCCAGGTTTTCTCTTCTGCTACCATCTCCATGGGAGAGCCATGCTGGATGTTCAYGTTCATCAGCTGCTGCTGTTTGCTATCTTTGGAGCTGCTGCCTGCATATTCCTGGAAGTTTTCTTCCGTGGCAGTATCGTGCTGGAGATGCTCCGTACGAGCCTCTGCATTTTACAAGGCAGCTGGTTCTGGCAGGTAGGTCCCTGTTCTGCCTTAGGAATTCCTTCCTCACCAAAATTAGTCATTTAACCCTTTGTAGATGTTTCACAGATGTGATATAGATGCCTTTTAAACATAGACCTCAAATGACTTAGAYAAAACAATGCACTTCYAATGTTCCTTTAAAGAGATAGAAGYATTTCTCMTATCCATCTTCCAGAAGAAGAAGCAGTGATTTTACTCCTAGTGCCTTTTATCTGAATCCATAAAAAAGCTCAGGTGTTTTTCTTGAGCTCTCCATTACTACAGTCATTGACCATTCCCTCTGATCCCTGTAACATCCTGTTCCAAACTCACCAGCCAAATGGCAGGGATTTTAGAGCATGGAGAGATATGTTGTCCTTTACAAAGAGAGTGTCCCCTGTCAGTAGCTGGAGCAGTGAGTGGATGCTCAGTGTGGTTCTGGTGAGGCAAAGGCTCAAAAGGTGTTTAAGCTGCAGATTCTCATTAGGAGAATCTAATCTGGGGGATGTAAAGCCTCCTGCTTTTCTGGTGCTCTGGGAACTGAGCAGGACAAAGAACAGCCAAAACATTGATATTTTGGCTCCCAAAAGGACTCTTTAAAATGCAGCTTCCATGGCTTCACTTACCTGTGAGTCTGTCCAATAAGAGATGTTTGATAGCGACCCTTTCTCTGCTGTCAGAAGGAGAGGGAGATTTCAGGAGCTGCTGTGAGTTTGTGACAGGAATAGGAGCCCTGGTGCTGGTGTGTGTTTCATCTTAWAGTGAGGAATTGAGGACACTCCAATGATTTTTCTTTCCGGCATGTCTAGACTGGCTTCCCTTTTTTATACRCTGGCCAGACACGATGAATAAAAAYGTTTGCTGTTTCTTAGGAGAACTGGACACTCAGCACCAAATCAAATATTTAAATGCTTGCTCTGGCATGAGGRCAGACCTTGGAATTGGCTGTATTTTTCTATAAGTGAACTCAAGAACGTGGTGCTGCAGCACTTGCTGTTTTATTTTCTTGCTTGTAAACTTTCATGTGGTGATTTAACAAGCTTCACATAAGAGGAATTGATGCAACTATTTATTCATTGTTGTCTGCCTAGTCTAATTTTGGAACAGATTATTTCTTTAGCTCCAGAGACAATGAGGGTTTTGTTTCAAAGTAAAAAATTGAAGTACTAAAAATAGAAGAAGTTTAAGTGCGGCTTTTKTCACACCCACATCAGACCTCAACCATCTGTGTGACTGAAAACCACACACTGGCTGCAGCACGGGAAATTTGTGAAAGGTAAAGGGACTTCCTTTCTACATCATCAACACCCTTCTTCATTGAATTCTCTGCATGGAGCTGCAAAATTCACTCCCCTTCTTCCTCTCCTCTTCCCAGTTTCTGAATCCTCAGCTAAACTGCTGAGTGTTGACTTTGAAGAGTATTAAGCAGTGCAGAGGGTTGATGTTTGTCATGCAAACCTGTGTAGCCAAAGGATTAACAGTTTTCCCATCTCATGTGAAAATATGAATTTGATCTTTCCCAGCTCTGACTAAACAAATCAGCTACATCAYATTTCACATGAACTTAGTCTTGGATGAGGAAGCTCCACTTTTATGCTGTTTGGAAACCTGATCTTTCCCCTGGATGGCTCAGAAGAAACAGAMTCGTGGCTCCCCTTTATTTACTCATCGATTATTCACCTTCTCTGCCAGTAACGCATTCCCAGATGCTGCTGGGAGTGCAAGGCAGTGCTGGGAATGGCTGGGCAGGTTTTCTGATCCRTGAGGTGATTTGGGTTCAGACCACACAGGGCTGAGCACCAGCCCCTCTCCTTACAGTGCAGAACTGAGATTGTTGCAGGGCTGGGATGCTGGGCAGGCTCCTTAATTTCCTGGGCAAGGGCAGGGGGGCTCTGGGACAGGATCTGCATCTTCAGAGCATCTCTGCACAGAGCTGTGTAAAGTGATCCATCACATCTGAGAGAGAAAACAAAACTGTTTTTAATAATAAACACAGAAATAAGCAACACTGCAAAGAAATWAAATACCTGCCTTTTGATGGGTTGCATAAAACACAATATGGCCTAGAATACACATCAAATGACATGTACTGGATATCTTTTATTTTTTCTACAGATTGGCTTTGTGCTTTATCCTCCAAATGGGAGCCCAGAGTGGAATCAGACAGATCACACTAACATGATGTTCCTGACCATGTGCTATTGCTGGCATTATGCCTTTGCTTTTCTTATACTTGCAGTGAATTACACGATTGTCAGCTGGTAAGTTCCTTGAARCACTAAAACTTTCGTGATTTGTCTATTTAGCCTRGCAGGRGTTTCAYTGACAAATGAWAAGGTTTCTATGGAGTAATTAATTRTCTTGCAAGGTAWTATRAAAATARTACTAATCAATGAAAAGCACATGRCAGTGCTTCAGTAGAAAGGGGGAAATATTCATAAATACAGCTCTGATAGCAAAATACTTCTCACATAAAGTGAGCTCTAATAGTCTTCCACATTTGTAAGTGCATAAAAAGTCAGAAGTAGGAGAGACTTTTTTCCTGCAGCATCTTGTTTTCCATTGGCCATCTCTGCTAATTTTAAGCTGCTTAGTGAGCAGGCTTCATGACTTGACTTTAGAGATTATTACACAGAATTCCTTGCCAGAAATTTCCTGTGATCAGACCTGATTTCTTTTTTACTAGCCACTGTCATCCCCTAATGCCTTAAGTTAGACCTTTTCCTTGCTGCACGGAACATTCTGGAGGGTAACTGAGGTGTGTTTAAAGTGCTCTTGGATATGTCCATAGAAACAAGCACTTACAGGCTGTACAGTCAGGTGGAATCACAGTACAGGCAGCACTTCCTRACCACAGAAYCACAGAATGGGTCATCCCAGCTTGCTGATGAGATACAAGAATTAAACAGGTTTGCTTTGAGTGATTACTGACAACCTCTTTTGTGTTGTTTGCAGGGCAGTCCGTTCGAAGGTTAAACAGTCCCAGCCCATGGAAATGGGTTTACTGAAAACAGCTGAACGAGATCATGAGTCAGAAGAAGAAATTTAATGAGTATGGCTTGATCAGTTTGCCCACTCCAACCATTAGGCTAATTAATACCTCATTTGTACATTTTTTTTTTCCATCTTATTCATATTCTTTACTACAACTTGCATTGCAAATATCATTCCCTATGATGTCTACATCYACACAGTTATATATATTTTTGTGGAGGGTAAGCTTGATGGTGGTTGCACTAGTACCTTGATTATCACATGCTGCACAGAAAATCAGACCARTATTAGACAGACTTGGAGTGGATGAAGTGGCACAATGAAGTCTGTATGTTTGCCTTATTAAAAGCTCAGCAAAATGTTTTCCAGCCACTGCTGGACATGAAGTTTCCATAATWAGGGTGTCTAAATATGTTTGTTGGTTGCCCTGCAAGTACCTGTGGATAAATAACTGTGCAGAACAAGATAGAGAACCCACAGTCTTGCAGCTCTCTTGTGTAACAACTTTGTGTCTCTGCTTTATGTTAGCTGCACATGCTGGTAATGCTGAATTTTAGTCTGTCAGGTTTGCCAGTGCCTTTCCAAAATCAGTGATATTGTTTATTCTGAAGGAGACCATCAGAAACTACTTTGCTTCTCACAGGCAGGAACAATGCAAATTTCTTCACGCTTTTCTTGATAAATATGTTGAATACAGTGCAAATATTRAGGTGCTGTATCTCTAAATTAAAGGGATAACCTAAGCAGGATGAAAAGCATAATAAACTTGCTGAGCTATCGTATGTCTTCTCAGAAAACTTCATTTGTTGATTTTTAAAATTATTTTAGATATTTGCCAAGTATTATGAAGTAACACCTGTAAGTAGGTGTCAGATTATCCARATGAGTCTTCTTTGGAAAGCAGGAGTAGTTGGCTCACATACATTCCTACATTTACAAATGTCAAATAGGGAATTGCACATTGCTAGCCAAAGATCACCACTTTTCTTAGCAATTGCTGGCTTTTTTTTAATGCCTTTTTTTCTGAAGGGTCTTGGAGATTTTGGCAAACTTTAGCAAAGCCTGTCTCAGGACATTCATGCAGGATGGGTACTGGTATGGTGTATTTGTAGTACTATGTCTCAGCTTTACAGTGGTCTTACTACAAACTCTGATTGTATTTACTCCACTCTGCAAATCTAAGACTTGAGTTTAATGATGGTGGTTCCATTAAAATCAGATTTTCTGTAGAAGGAAGATCCATGGCTTCCCCAAGGGGCTTACCTGTTAATTGCAGCAGGGATTTGCCAAATGTATCCCTTTTACAATCTTACCTTCATTGCACCACATCGCCATTGTCTCTAAATTGTGGGGATTTTTTATAAAGGGCAGATTTTTTTCCTATTAGAATGGTTGGGGTACAAAGCTTCCGCAGTTCTGGGCAGAGAAGATGAAGGTTATGCCTTAAAGAGAATTTGGGAGTTATTACACAAGTCTGTCATGATAAGCCAAAATCAGTAGATGAAGCGAACCCCATGGTGGAAGGTGCTTAGCAAAATCTCCTTTTGAAAAAAACTCCCTGCTTTTAGAGAAGCAAAAAGTGACAGTAGTTGAGCTCAYTGGAACAGAGTGGCTGCCTGACACTGTTCCAAGTGTGCCCTGCTCTGCTGGTGACTCCAGCTCTGTCCTTAAATCCAGCAGTGGCTGCAGGGCTGGGTGTTTCTTTGGAGAAACCCTGAGCAAGACTCACTCTGCTGAGAGGAACCTGTGCCCCTCTCTGTGTCCCTGTTGTGAATCTCCTGTAAATAGTCACAGAACTGGACAAAGAAGCCATTCACACCTGTCTGCATGTGGTTCTGGTGCAACCAGGCTTAGCAAAGACMTCTCAAGAGAAGCCCAGACTGGAGGCTGATGCAGACTGTGACACAGAACTGTAGGGCAGACTTTGTGCAAAAAGATGTCTTCTCACATTAGAAAAGATGGCATTAGCAAGACTGAAGAAAGGCAGGGAAAAACAGATCCTGAAGTCTCAAAGGAAAAGTTGTCTCTTTAATTTAATTTTTAGTAATCACGGTATGTGCAACATGAGTGCATTGTGGGGRGTTGTGCCTGACATGTTTATGATGCCACAAAGGAAAGAAACACTCCATTTCAGAGTGGGGTTTTGCCACGTGGAACACCTGACCCTTCTCAATCTGTGTTCAAGAGATGCCCAGCAAGAGTTACACCTATKACAATGAAAAATGTGCAGCCTTTATCATTTCACAAGCAACAGGTTTGTGAGTTGAATGAGGGAAGTCCCACAAGTTTACAAACATCACTAAGAAAAAGGAAGCTGCTCTCAAGAAAATTTAAATTATTTTTAAATATTGGTGCCTTTGAAAAACTATATGGTAGTTTTTACTAGACAAAATATGCCTGTAATTTTATTTAAATAAAATTGATTTATTCATGTAYGATGTCTGTCATGTTTTCAGGGGAAAAATATAACCCTTTATGGGACAAGATGGGGTGGGATAAACAGGTTATTCTCATAACACATCCAGACATTTGAACAAGTTGCACTTGAATTCAAGAAAAGTCAGTACTACCTTGTCATTAATGATACCTATGGTTTATGTCAAAGTGACAAGGTGCTTATGAGGCCTATGATTGAAAGCTTTCTATAAACTTTTTTATACACTATCAATATAAGAATGTAATAACTTTTTACATATTATTAATACACAATGTAATAACTTTCAATATTTTATCAATAATAGCTTTTTCATGTATTGTTATAAGTTTTTATATAGGGTATTAGAAATATAGAGTGTATCCAGTATAGCTGTATATAATCCGACCAGCTGGATTAGTACGTAAACACATAAAAATCACCAAGGAGCATAAATCAGAAAAAGTTCTGAAGAAGTAGACAGGTAGATGCTATAACAAGGAACAGTAGAGAGCTCTAATGAGAACTCGGTAGAGGCACAGGACAGACAGCAAAATAATTGAAAATGAAGACTTGGAGGACTAGAAAAAACCCATGAACATCACAACTGCACATGCCCTGAAGACAAAGGTGAAAAGTCCACCATGATGGAGAGGATGGGCTCTCATTAGAGGGAGACCCTCACCACCACTGAATTGAGGATGACACATATGCACTTACAGAACTGTGGTATCATCTATTTCAGTGCCCATGTATGGTGGTGGGCATAGTGACAATGGTAATGTTACACCATTCTTACTGTATAAATACCTGCTAATTTTAAATAAAGGCAAATGGGTTAGGAGGAAAAATCCCCCTCACCTCCAGCGCTACACCAGCGCTGCATTAAACCAATACCTGCTCTATAGACAATGGTTTATGGGGTTTTATTTCTAGGCCTTTTTYGGGCATCATTAGGAACTGTGATATTTGTTCTATATCCTGTCAATAAGCACTTTTCCCCTTTGTAGATAAACATAGCATGAGCTAAGAGCAAATATGACAGCAAAGGATTTGAATCCTCCACTAAAAAGCTTCAGKGTATCTGGTACCTTAATGCCCTCCCCCAAAAGTTTCAGTTCCTCCARACTACAGCAGCTGGGGTAGGAGTTGCTGGTACAGAAGTTGGTGGAAGAAAACAGAAATTTTTTTTTATCCAAAAAGCCCTTCAGCATGTGCAGTAGTGGAAGGAAGCCTGAAGCCAAGGAACTAAGCAACAAACAGCACATCTGGTAAAAAAGAGAAAGACAACTGGAAAACTGCTGGAAAGTTTGTCCTTAAAACCCGTTCTAGCTACAGTATGTGCTTACTCAAAATATGTGGGAGTAAAAAACTTAATGTTTGTCTAAAAAGGCATAACTTGTCCTCAGAYGACTTTTTTTGAACACTGATTTCTATCTCTGCAACTCTGTTGAAGTTCATGGATTTGTATGTTTGATACRCTTCTTGGAATGAAAATACATTAAAAAAAAGTAGATGAAACMCATAATTATAAATACTACAGCAATGCTACTTTGCAATTTGGTTTGGAAAGCAATCTCTCACATATATACCTCTACCATTTACTGACAAAACACTGCCAGAGATGTACCTAAGAGGTCAATGTCAGAGTCAGGGCATGAAACCGGAGGAGAAATGGTTTTGTCTACATGCTGTGGTTACCTGCCACTGCCTCCCTGAGGAGGAGAAAGAAGAAATGGAAAGCAGCCTGCAGATCCATACAATTAAGCAACAAGAAATCCCTCCCAGCGCCCTTAAGAGCATGGGAGAGGCTGTTGTGTTCACCATTTCCAGCATTCCAGCTGCCTCAGTGTTAATTACCAGGGGCAAGGTTCTCGCTTCTGCAGCAGGAAACRGCAATGCAAATCTTCCAGTGGGAATGGCAGTAGGAGTGAAAGCTTTGCTGGAATTTTACTGGTTTGTGACTGGCTCAGGCAGATGCAGTTGACACAATAATGAAACGTCRAAGATGGTGTTTACTGCTGGCACCACACTTTGTGCACACTTGAAAACAAAAAAGAAAGGGAATTAGAAACATCTGGCTCTAATAAAGGCTTAAAAGAAATGGAGGAAAGCAGAAGAAACATATCCAGTCACTCAAGAGTGATTTTATCTCCCTGCAGCTGCATCACAGATGCRAATTTGCTATTGTTAAGGTTTCCTTTCAGTTTGATTATTCTATCATATAAACATGGTTTATTTATTTATGGTTTAATATTTTCGTAAATAAGTCTACTGTCTTTTAAGAGGCACTTATTGCTTTGTGTTGGTTTTGCCATCTGATGCCTTAAGCAATCTTTTTTCTCTSTGTTTTATATAAAACGTTCATGTGAAGTTAGAAATTCACAATCTGTTTTGCTCACAACCCTTCTGCAACTTCTCAGCTGACAAACTGTCTTCCATTTGCAAATCTGGGCCTGCAACCCAAAGTTGCAAGTATTTCAAACACCTAAACTCAACATGCTGGACAAAAACATCATGATGATGTTAGCTATGTAAAGAACCAGGGATGCTATTTCCATTGAACAGGCAGGGCAATGTAAGTGACCATGAGAATGAATTATGATTTCTTTTCTATTTTGTCATTTAAAAAGACCTTCAATCAGATATTTGGAGTGAAAAGAGTCACCAGGTGGCCCCTGGGTGCTGGGGGCAGCTGTTTCCTCCTGCCCTCAGACTCCCACCCATCACCTGGGTGCCACAGCCCCTGCACCCTCCTCCTATGCTGATCCCAGCCCTGAGGATGTTTTCCCTTTCTGTTTTCCATGCTAGTGACAATAACATGGAGAGAGGAAAGATTTAGGACAAGAAGCACAACTGTAACACCAGGACTTCCAGAGGCAGGCAGGCAGATCTCCCAGAGGGACAGCAAGCAGCCCTGCCCCACCCAGAGATTTGTGTCAATACCTGTCACTGCTGCRGTGGCACAGCCTGTCTTTAACTAAAACCTCTGTGAGCAGACTGTCAAGACATTTGGCTAACTGAAGAAGCACATTAACAATTTTGGTTTGTCCCATTTGTAAAAGTAATCTTAATTATTTTTTATTTTATGTRTCAATATTTTGAATATCAGTATGGGTATTATTATGAATAGCTTGCAGATTGCCACCAAGGAGATTAAATACATATCTTACTCATTTTTATTCGTGATAGGAGGGAAAAACATCATAACAATCTGTGAGGCGTTAAAGGAATTGTAGTCTGTAKTAGCAGTTTCAGTATTAGTGGTATCTAGTGGCTAAATCATTGGGCCACATCCCAAGAGACCAGGACCCCATCCTTTGACTGCATTAATTCTGTACATTCTTGGCAAATCACATCAGCTTCTTGAATCCTGTTTTTCAAACTGAGATAGAATTGCTTTGGTAATTCAAAAAGCCAAACAATCTCCTTTCCTCATTAGTGAGAAACACCATATAAAAACAAGGTACTATCCCTACTCACACAGAGGGAATTAATCCACTGGAYGCTGATGACAAAAAAGACATGTTTATTCCAACTCATTCTTAAAATAAATCTATYTTCTTCTTCACTTTGACTGTGTTGACTTTCACCCTGGGCCAGCCAGCACCCCTCGCCAARGTACGTGCAAGTCTATTTTGAGGACCAGAGTCACTTCCCAAGCAGTAATAAACACACATGTGCCAAAACTCTTTTTTCCTATGTGGAAGAGAAAAGGTAAAGATTTTATCAGTAGACAAGTAGTTAATGGCTTATCCATGAATGTGTGGTAACCATTTCTAGCACTGCAGACAGCCTGCACTACACCATGCCTTCACTCCACTGGGACAGAATTTTGGTTGGAGTCACCTGTTGTGTAGTGACTGTGACCCTTTGTGTTTTGGCAGCTCCTCAGGTTCAAAGCAGGTAAGAAATTATTCTACCCCATTTGAACACTTTGGGTTCTTTTTCCTTTCCGTTTTACCCCACAGCTGCCTGCTTCTCTGTTTTGCTCCTTTCAAAGGAGTATCAGTCAGTCTTCCTTCCCACCTTTGCCTTTCCTTGCACTCATTTGCAGCCACACAAATCTCAGTTGCTGGAGCAGCTTTCTGCTGCTCTCTGTAAGATTTCCAATGGAAAGATGTTGTRTTTTGAAAAGCTGATGGCTTGTACTGGCATTTCTAGCAACACTGGGATGTTATTCTGCTATCACCAGAGACATCTGGCTGAAACACAACGACTAAATAACAAATGACATGAGCAAAAGCTGAGCAAGGACTGCCAGGAACAGAATCACCCCTGCCACGTGGTGCAGCCCTTATAGTTTGTAATAATCTTCCAGTTTTATGATTCCCATTAAAGAGTAAGAGGTTGAGCAATCCCTTTAGTTCAGTGTGAACATTGGAAATATACAATGGCACGTGTTTTTGGCAGTGCTGTTTACTTTTGAATGTTCTGGCCTTACTCAGTTTGTCAGTGTCTCAAAACACAGGCATTAAAATGTCAGAGCAAATGGCAATCCTCAGCTCCAGTTTTCTGCATTATTTGAAGCCAAACACCCAGTGCATATGTGTGCAATTTCCACTGGGAACCCTATTGGAAAGGATTACAACTCCATCCTTCACTTAGGGACCTGGTGAGATTGACTGTGAGGAAAGCTTGTTCTGTGGAGATCCCCCACATCTTGGATCTGTCTGTCTAGGATTGAGGTCCACAACTCCCCTTCCCTGTTGCAATTTCTGCTGCAGGATACCCCTTAGCCATTCAAGATTTGCCAGTCTCTTTTTTCAAAAACCTTGAAATTTTCAGAGCTTGCTGTTCACAGGAAATGCCATAATATATGCAGAAATGTCTAAGATCTGCAATTTCTTTGCTATTGCTTAGACCATGCCTTTTTGTTTCCTGAAGTTGTGGCAGTCAGTTCAACAGCTGCTTTGAAGAAAGCCCTCTGTTTCTGCCAAAAGACAGAATAAAAATTGTCACCTGTCCTGAAGTGGGTATAGAGGCTATGGCTAAGGTTGGGGCATGGGGTTTTCTCAATTCTGTCCTATAATGCCTGTCTTAACTCATCTTTATCTGATTCTTGGATGTGTAACTATCCATGTCCTCATTATTGTTCCAGGCCCTTCAGCACTGGCACTCTGGGGCTTTGTTTTGCCTTCTTGGCCCCRTGAATTCCTGCAGAAGTAATTTGGGGTTTTCATGGGCACAACAGCTTGAACTTTTGGCAGCCTGGAGGCCACACTGCTGCTTATTCAGCATCTGCTCAAAACTATTMCCACCTACACTGTTTTGGGARCACAAATTCATGYTTGGAWGCTTTGACCCCATATTCATGAYATTGGTTTAGGGGCAAGYGACYKAGTACATGGGWRAGATTATGGGTGATATGTATTTTTYAGCTGAGGCTTCAAAYATATCAGSTTTRTTTCTTTCCTTCACCAAATGAAATAGATACATTGTTTTATRCACTYCTTAATGWATACACATATATATAATATATATMTMTTCTTTATTTGCACAGGCACTACAGAACCCATGGAACCTCCATCCTCCTGTCTCAACAGTGGCAGCTGTGGGGATGGGCCTGGGTGTGCCCAGAGGAGTGGGTGGGATCTCTTTGTCATAGGGGTGGGATCTCTTTGTCATACAAGCCAAGCAGCGTGGGCAGCCTCATTTCTGGGAACCCCTCCCCTTTGGGAGACCCCTGACCTTTTGTGCTGCTTAGACCTGCTCAGCAGGGTCTGATCCACAAGCAGTGCCGTGCCTCTTCTTGCTTGCTGACGCTGTATTTTTCACCCACGTCAAAGGAATAACGTATCTGGGGAAGACATTACATCCTTCAAGAATCTATGGCCTGTTTCTAGCCAATTTGGCCTTTGAATTCCCCTGCTTGAAGATCAGAGTTGAAAATGTGATTCAGATCTCAGTGCCCAGCGCTGCTCTGTTCGGATTTGCCCTGTGTTTAAGGACACCATGAACCTCAGCACCTGCAGAACAATGCCTGCCTTCAGCTCCTGCTGCTGCTGGCTCTGCCCTTGGATGAGTCAAATTTCCTAAACCTGGAACAGCACTGTCCTGGTGGACTCCCATTTCAGTCCCCTCTGCTCATTTTTTCCAAGATCAGCAGCCCACAGTGGGGCTGGTGTGACACGCAGATTCTCTGTCATGGGCCAGCTGTGCTTTTGTCAAATGATGTGACGTATTTGGGCAGAAGGATGTCAAAATACCTGCAGCTCATCCAGGAAAATGTGCTTGGGGAAGACTGCTAGGTAGGTGGAAAGTTCAGGTCTTCCCTGTCATTTCCCTTATGACAGAATGGGCAGCACTTCCAACAGACAATGATGGATTGAATGAGTTCATGATTGATTGGAACATTTGGGCAAAGTGTTTCAGAGAAGTTGGCTTAAATGAAATAATCATGGCTGGGATTTCAGCACTGGAAACACAGCATTATGTTCTCTGCTTTAGTGTTCTGTATTTGATTTGTTGTGAATTGACTTAAATAATAGATTTTAATAGCTGCAGTTATTAAAACACACAAGGTAACAATGTTTGGACAGACATCATTAACTTGAAATCATAACAAACATTGAAATTACAAACTTTGAATTTTACTCTGTTTTCCTGAGGAATGTTTATAATGTGCAGCTGTCTGCTATTCCATCTTCTTGGCACCTTCTTTAACTTGCTGACCAGTTTCAGCTGAATTTACTAGGTGGTTACGGATCTTAAAGATCTCCAAATCTGATGAGTTTTGAGCATATCACTAGGTGGGTACAGAGGCCCAACCCTATAAATATATCAAAGAGGAGAAGGAAAGGACATTTATGGCATCAGCAAGGAGGGGGAGGCCACAGGGCCAATCAATCCAGTCTATTCACTATGATGCATAAACTATGCATGAGATTTGTCTCCTCTTCACCAGCTAACAAAATGAAGATGTATATTTTATGTACTGAAAGTGTAAAGATGGATCTAAGAGGTGAGAGAGTCTGAGCCATGAATGGGCGTGGAATCATAGTGCTGAAGGTGTTGAGGAAGCTGGAAGAGAATGCATTCAGGTGTTGGTAGCATGCAAAAGGTGATCCAGTTTATTGCCAGGAAAGAGAGCGTGGCATGCAGGGTCAACAGCTTTTGTAACCCAGTTACTTTTGTTCCAACAATCATGAACTATTTCCACTTGGCTCATAATTTGCTGCTTTAGTACATTATGTCATGGTTGTTTTCTTTCACAAATCATGACAAAGGGTCTGGTTTTCTTCTTACTTGTGTTTTTTCTGGGTTTTTGTTTTGTTTTGGGTTTTTTTGTTTTGCCTTGTTTTAATCTGGAGTGATACCAATGAAGTTAGAATATTTGCAAAAATTACAGATTTGCATCAGTGGGAAAATTCTGTTTCAGATGGAATCTCTTTTTTAAGTCTGAAACCAAGCAGTGTAAGTATATAAACCARCCCAAACCACTTTCAGGCCAAGGCTCGAATAACTAGAAAGGGAAAAAAATATAGCTTGAATAAGTGCTCATGTGTGAGTACCTATTTGTGTGGGAATGCAGATGCGTCCTTATGTGTTCACAGCAACTCATTCTTGGCTTTCTTCCATTAGAGAGAAGGCAGGATCATCACAAAAGAATTCAAATCCATGGGTCTAGAGAGAATTCATTCAAGACAGCTGAAAAACCTGAMTGATGTCCCTGTGTGACTCCTGTCACCTGTGGTGATGAAGAGAGGCCACAGAGAACTTGGAAAAGGCCCATATTATCACCTTTAGGAAAGGCAAGAAGGAGATGTGGGGGAACCACAAGGCAGTCAGGCTCACCTCAGGTGCTCACAGCATTTTGGAACATGTCCTCTTGGAGGCAACTTCCATTCATATGAGAGACAAGAGGATAATCAGCAACAGCATGGATTTACAATCAGGACCAATCTGACTGCCATGAAATAACTGCATGTAGGCAACAGAAGAGTAACAAGATGTAATACCCTCTGATTTTAGAGATGTCTCTCAGCATTCTCGTTTCGTGGGTGAAGACCCACCATTGGTTTGGGTGAGTGAAAATTAACTCAGCAGCCAAGCTCACCAGGTAGCGATCAGYGCCTTGCTCAGAAAATTGTAAAAGTAGAGCAACTTGCTGGTCAATAATAGTGCAGAATGGTTCAGTGTCTTCATCAAAGCCCTGAACTATGACCCAGCATTTCCTGTCAGCCGGTGATAGTGACCCTGGAGAGGGGCAGAGACGTTGCTGACACAATGGCAGAGTTTCGATACAGAAGAACGTAAGAAACCCAAAGATCATTCCAACAAAAACCTCACAGTGTCCAACAGGAATAAGTGCCCATCTCTGTGCCAAGGACATTGGCACAGCTCAGGAACTTGCTGGCTGAGGAGCAGACCTGCTGGAAGCTCCCTGGGAGTGACAGAGGGTGCCAAGGTCAACACAAGCCAGCAGCGCGTGGTTCTCTGAAAACACGGTGCAAGAGCAGCTGTATTTGAGAGGGGCAGGGTAATGGATGCTTCCACCCTGCCCTTCTTGGCACTGCTGAGAAGGGAAATACAAGCTTCRTTTTGCCACCTGCAGCCAGGGTAAGCAGGCTTAGGGAAGCTGCAGAGGGTTCAGCAGGACGCAGTGAGGTCAGGGAGGGGCTCTGTGGCTTTCAGGGAGCAGRGCAGGGAGCTGRGCTTGGTCACTGTGCTGAAGAGGRGACTGAGAGCAGGGCTGACAGCAGCCCTGGTACAAAGACCATCGACCCCAAACCTTCTCAGTGACACCAAAATGTAAAGTGACACACAGCGGCCACAAACTGCAGTTTGAGATGCTGAGATTGAGCATGAAGAGAAATGCTTGCATTCCAAAAGGCAGCGTGTCACTGCAGCATGTCTGCTGGCGAGGATGTGGAGCCTCTCTTTGTCTCAGATGCCCCCCAGAGCCTCCTTCCACCAGGGATTTTTGAGACACCTTGTCCTGCTCRCCACATCCTGGCAAGCAAGGTTCAGGTGTGGTGCTGCAAGCAGACCTCATCTTTGCAGCATCGTGCATCCCTATTGATTGATCCCAATCAATAATAATTGATTGGTGTAGAGGGGAAGTGTCATTGTGCAATGGGAAACCGAGACCCTGTAGAAAACCAGATCCACAGAAAGTGAAGTGAGCCTGTGCCAGAACACAGAGAACACCCCCGTTTTCCTAAGCCCCCTCACGACCCTGACCATAAATATGCTTGGAGTCAGACCTGCCAGTGGAACAGAGTAAGCTGAAATGTGTTCAGAATTAGCMAAAGTTAGCAAAAACAGGATGTTGCAAGTCATAACATGAAGCAAAATTTTTCTGCTTGTGTGCTGTAGTATTTTTTTCGAGTGTTTGCAGCTTTKTGAGGTAAATTTGTGTTAAGTTATAGCAGTATGGTACATGGGAATGTAACAGGCTGCTATTCTGATCACTGAACTCGTCATTCTGCCTTTATGGGGTCTGGGGTGGTCAGCCTGTCCCAGTCCAGCAACAGTGGGGCAGCAACTTCCTGCACCAGAAGCYGTATCTGACCCATCATGGTTTAGATCACCAAAGGACTGCTCCTCATTAACTGTTTGAAAATATCTATTTTTGCCCCCTGCTGTATTCTGTGGCATTGGGTTACCAAATCTGATTTCTGCCTGGGTATCAAGACACCAAAGGTGAGGCTTTGTAATATTTTACAAATTTTCTAGGACTAAAGCAGAGATGACAAAAAGTATGGGCTTTTAAGAATTCACTGACTTCTAAAATAATACTTGTGGCAGCTTAGCAGCTTGAGTTTAGACAAGATTTACCAAAGTGCTTTTATTTCATTTAGGGCAAAAGATTCAATGAACTTCTACTGTCCCAGTACTATTTTATGTTTGAAAACTGACCCTTATGCTAAAAATATTTAATCTGGGTATATATTATTTTTTTCTTTTTGTGCAGTCAATTTTTGTGACYACACTACTGAGACAGTGAACATTTCTGAAAGCAACATAAAAACCTCTTACTTTTGAAAGGATWATAGTGGACAAATATGGCCACTTCAAAGAGAAATGTGAACCTGATACCATAAATGGTATGTGTTTCTTTCCTTTTGTTTCCATTTCCCAGCAGTAAATGTAAGGTTTGTGAAAGATGTTGGATTATTAAACCAGAGAGGTCTGTTGTGTGTATGGGTGAGAGTTTCCATACTAAATGTAGATATTTCAGCTTTTACAAAAGTACAGACAATGCTTCAATAGCAATCTGGGTGCTCCAGAGTAAGTAAAATTCCTAMTTTGAAGTCCCCTTAAGTTCTGAATTGCAATGAATATCCTTAACACCACAGGCAATCTTAAATTATTATTTAAACAGTCTGAGATTCTGCATCATCATAGGGGAAAAAAAGGGGGAGTGGGAAGAGAAAACTGAGGGAGGAAATATATATGTTATGTTCCTCAAAGATTTGCAGAAAGCAAAATAAATTATCAAAGTCTTTTTCAGTGGCATTCTTGCCACTGTGTTTGCTTTGTGTCTGCTTTGCAGATGGCCTGAATTTCCAATGGTCATTATTTTATTTTCTTGGTTTTGCCTGAAYCCAGCATCCCATTTTGTATTTCTTAACTGGGCTGCATTTTTCTAAGTCAGGTTCCCAGGTCACAGCAAGTRCCTGTGAATGGAGGTGATGCCAGCCCAGGATACCAAATCAGCAAGAATGTGAAAGGGATTTGTAGAAGACTGGCACGAGGGGGATAGTGACATCAAYATGTTCAGAAGATTTAGGAGTGAAGCCTTTCCATTCCATCCTGTGATCAGCTGAACATGGATGGAACACTTCTGGCATTCAAGAATCCAAATTTTAACTCTCTGGTATGAATGGCATCCATAAAATCCCTAAAATCCATAAAATCCATAACCTCCTAAGTCTAGCTCTGAGGCTTAGCTCTGCATTATCTGCAAAATGTGGAGAGCTGAACATGACTAARCACATTATAGAGGCTGCTTTCCTTCTTCTGCTTCTGTGTTTCATTCCCTTATAACTAGTCCTAAAAGAAAAAAGAAAAAGAAATTTAAATTTCACCAGCTACAGTCTCTTTATATAAAAGAGAAGTCCCTTTCCTCGTGCATTTTTGCTTGAMTACTGAACCTTCAACCCAATGCTTCACCTGCTTGGATCCTTTCCTGASAAACTCTTCAGCTCAATATTACCTTTTTCCAGTACATGGCCTTCATTAAATGGTTCAAAGTAATATATAATATTAGCATTAATTTCTAATGCCAGCATGGTGTGACGTCCTGCTGCCACCAGTAAGGCAGGGTTTTGTTGGGAGCTGTGATGTCGGGCTGCCATCTAGTGAGCTGTGGGCTGCTTGGGGAGCTGGGGAATGGGAGGAGGAGGCATTCATGCTACTGATCCAGAGCAAGGTTCAAAAGGATTTGGCTACTTTTAAATGGAAGTATTTATTTTGAATCCAAGATCATGCTGTAAGACAGAAGCAAGAACAGTGAACATGCATTCATGAGGTACTGTTGGTCCATGATGCATATGCAGATGTTTTCAAGTCAAATATTATCATCTCCAGTAATTTTAAATGCAAAGTTCCTTCCTCCCTAGGCAACGCATTCACCTTTCTTACTTACCATTCCAAGCTTTATCAATGTTTCAAAGCTACATGATAGAATTAATCCTGATTTTGGTAGCTACCCAACACAAATAATTTGAGAACAATTCAGTTGTTGAAGCAAYTCAGTAGAGTTATTCATTGACAGGATTAGGAAACAGATGACTTGACCCAATGACTGGCAGATTTTCTGTCTCTTATTGTTATCCAGCCACACCTCATATGTCACAGAACTAATGCCTCAACTTTTTTTTGTGTGTTTAGACTCTTCAGATGCTGATTTACCCTCTATTCATTCAGTGCTAACTAACTCCAACTGGATCCAACCTGTGCTTATAGCAATTTTTATTAGTACCTCCAGCGCTGGAATATTTAGTTTGGTTTTTTTTCCCATTTATTCCAAGCTGACACTCTGCATAGTGCACTGAAGTGAGGACAATGGCCTCAGTGCAGGTTACAATGCTGTGTTGAAAGGCATGATTGTTCCAGAGGACATTTCTCAAGCTTCTCTGATGGCCTTCCAAAAATCCTCTTGTGGTTATTTAAGGAACAATGAAAGGTGTACAGGAGTTTGTAGACTCAGAACTCAATGACCTCAAGACAAATGAGAGGTCCTGGGGCTGTCTAGAACTGCTTCATGGCAAGCTGTGGAGAACARCGGGGTCAGGCTGTTCTTTAAGGGGTGAAGTTTTAGGATGGGTGCCCACAGAATCAAGTGGCAAAATGGGAAATTCCTATTAGATAAGAGAAAAATTTTCCCCTTAGCGCTGGTCAAACATGGGCAGTTTTCTGAGGGAGGATATTGAAAGTGAGCCCCTSAGCAGCCTGGTTTCAGCCCCTGCTGGACTAGGGCACCTCCAGGGCTCCCCTCCAACCCAATATACTCAATGGATCCATGAAAACAATTTCTAGGGAGAATTTTCAAGAACCACATACTTGACATTAACACAAACATTTTAGACCACCAATTACTTGTATGTTTTTATTTTGCGTGAGAATGTTATAAAAGTGGTGAGTCTTTTCCCTTTTCTCTCTTTATTTATTTATTTATTTGTTTATTTATTTATTTATTTATTTGTTTATTTGTTTATTTATTTATTTATTTTCTCTTGAATAACATTTTCCTCACAGGTTGAAACTGAGGGCTCCAGCAAGGTTTCAGTTATTGCAAATCCTCACCTCTGTGCCAGACCAGCTGACCCCACAGAACATCACTGCTGCTGCAAACATCACAGTGCAGATTATGAAAAAGCCAAATGTTTCAGAAGAYTTTCAGGTGAGTCTTATTAGGACAAAAATAAGACTTAATATTTGGGATATCAATTCTGTCCCCCCTCTACCAGCAGAAAAGACACAACGGTACATAACACCACAAATAATTTTGCCATTTAGCAGAGTTATTGAAGCATTCCCGAGCATGTACTTACAGAATCACTGTTGGGTCTGTTCTCAGAGCCGAATGTAAATTCATCAGCTGTTTARATGTATATCTGAAATTTTAATACGAGCATCATTTCATGTTTAAGTTGACAATTTAATCATTACACACTAAATTAATAAAAGTGTGGCATTTCTGAAACCATTGGCACAAAGCTTGTGGTCTYTTGAATGTCTTCCTTTACTTTTCTACTCTGTGGTGAACTTTCAAGCAATGCTTGTTAAGTGTTCTTACTTTGTCCCTTCAGGTGATAGAACATGGGAGATTTATTCAATTACATTTAAATATTGCCTTTTTTTTCTGCTTGTCTCAGGCATCTGTGGCAGTCATGGCTGCAGTGAGTCATCTCTAGGATGCCAACAAAACAGAATTCATCCACAATAAACTTGTCAATACTATAATAAGGTAACTTCAGCTTTTGCCATTTTCTTTAGATGTCGTCAACTGCATTTCCCCTTCGAGTTCAGGATGAAAGTGGTTCATGAACAAGTCAAAATAATTTTAGCATTCAACTCCAATGTGTAATTTCCAATTTGCACCAATATAAACATTGCTGGATTCTYCTGCTTTAGAGAAAGGATGGGGGTAGGAAATGAGGAGCACTTSCCACTGGAGAACCAATCAGGGTGGAAGTTTTCATCAGAAACTGAACCTGGAGCTATGTAATAACAAATAATGATAACTTTTATCCYGCTCATTATTTTGATGTAGCCTCASGAAAACAGTGGAGGAATTTTCTTTGACTGGCAACACCTCACAGCCCAATGTTGCAATCCAGTCTGCTCCACTGAAATTAAGCTCATCTGTGATTCTGTTTTTGGCACAAAGTRAGTCCTGTATGTTGTTGGATTTACCTGGACACAGCAGGATGAACCATAAATCCTAACTCATACACTGCAGATACAGCACTAGGAAAATATCAGCCAACAAAACTAGAAATACAGGAAAATGTTCCTGGGCTTACTGATGACCTCAGTACTAAAGTTCAGATATGTTCAACATTTGAAGTAACAGTAAGTTCTTTCTCCTTTTGAAAACTGCAGCTGGGAAAAATTTTGAATGAATACTAAAAATATCCTTTGGGGGAAAAAAAAAAACCTTAGCTAGTTGGTTTTCATGCATGCTGATGCCTGGTACAAGAAATGTACATGTCAAATGAGGTGGATAATCTAATTTAAAGAAGAATGCAAATTTAGATGTAATGGCCGGAATGCTTTTGGTGTTTGGGACTTTTTCAGTTGTTTTKTTTTCTGAAATTGAAATGTGTTGGATCTTTGACCATACCTTTACAAACACTGAGATCAAGAACAAGTACATACTTACTTTGCCTGAAATTTGAAGWTATCAACGATTTCAACTAAAATTATTGTCAAGTGTCAGCAAGGACATCCACAYCCTAACACCTACAAATTGGATTATTCACTTGGGATTTTTCCAATGTCTATCACTCACACTCGGCAGTGCTCAGAGGATAAATTGGTATTGATATGGAGAGGAAAAATAAAAAGGGTTTGTAGATAATACAGTTACATTAGTCTCACCTGATGTTCAAATCAGAGAGAGATCCAATCAGTCTTTCTTGATCTTAAATCAAAAGCATAAAATCAATAATAAAGTCTATTACATAATATAGGATTTGCTTCCTCACTTAWGCTACAATTAAGTGATTTGAATCACATACACGAGTTCTAATTTGCTAGAAGTGTGCAAAAAACCCCACAGTCAAAAAGTGAGATCTGAAGGCAAAACCCCAGGCAGYCTCTTATCTTCTGACTTCCCACTAACAGTAAATGTCTCTGGTGTGACTATTCCTCATTTAGTGTTATTAAAAGCCCAGCCATTTGGACTGTGTGCATATATTGGGATTTAGGATATTATTTTCCTCCTTTACCAGTATTTTCCCAGAGAAATAATATTAAGAGAAGGATAATAATTATTTTCACTCGCCACCTCAGCAAAAATTGAAGATGTCTTTTGACAGTCATGGGAAGAGCAGCTGTTCCTTACTACTTGCAGATTCTTAAAAAAAAAAAATTCTAAACAGAAATCTGTAAGTGCTGAATATGTGCAACAGCACAGTGTAGGCTTCTCCAAAAGCATCAGCTTTTCTGATACCTGCTTATCTGTAACTGCTTTCTTCCTTGCCTTGCAGAGGTTCATCAGACAGTGGCAGAGTTGGATTTGTTCATTTTTCATGCTRTCTTTTAACTCCTACTTCCAGTTAAAACCATTGTGTGCTTTGACTTCCTCCACCAGGAACTGATTCCAGATGTTCCTGCTTTCTTGCAGGAAATGCTCTATGTGAATGTCCATTTGCCAAAACCCCTGAATTTTTAGGTAATATGTATTCATGTTTAGCATGGTTTCTCCAATAAATAGTAGGTGGCTTCTTCTTACAATATTTAACAAAGCTTTTAAGCTCAAATACATACATATGACAGATCAGTAATGATCAGCATGAAACCACATGGTTAAGTGATCCAGAAAACATGTAACTTATAAGAAAATTACTGAAACAAACTTATAATTTATTTTTTAATCACACTTTTATTCACAGTTTTTAATTGAACTACCTAATACTGTGAATGGTTTTGTTCACTTCTTATTCATGGTCCAATCTGCTTGTTGCTCTTTCAAAAGAAGTTCTAATTGCAGTACTGGGCAGAAGTGTGTAGTCTGAAAATGACTGCATGTCATTGGATATGTGAGTGACTGTGCTGCAGAAAAGGAGGGGGTGGATCACTGTGTTTATCATTRTTTGCTTCCTGTTCCCATATGGATTCAGCTCCAGTTGGCAGCAACACAGTGCTACCAGTAACTGAAAGGTGTTGTTTGGCTTCTACTGGCAGTTATTTAATGCTTGGTCAGTGGGAGCCTGAATCCCAATTACCTGAATAATTCATAGAAATTGGTAATTTCATTGGCAATCTTTGACTGAGAAAGGCACATAAAGTAACTTCAAAATGCCAAATTACACTATTGTTGATATAATTCATAAGGTTTACTGGAAACCCATAAATCACTTAGTAGCTGTCAGCTCCCCTTTCAAAATCAAATGTCTGTCAGCACACACTTTGCTGGTGCATATCTCTGTGTTTCTGTAGCCACTTTTTCTCCTTGCAATCCCAATCCCTAGAACGACACATCCGACCTGCAGCTGTGTGATCATACCTATGACTTTTGGGATCACACTGCTGGCTGTGCAAAAGGGAGAGACCAGTTCTTGAGATGCAGGTGTAACCACACCACTAACTTTGCTGTTCTGATGGCAGGGCATTGTCCTTTCGTGAATGRGAAGGGTCTGGGGCTGTTTAATTTTTTTTTTGTTGGGTTAGTTGTTTTCGACTCTGAGATCAGCATGGCAATATAAGGGAATAGGTGCACTCAGCTAGAACATAAAGGAGTTTATGATGTCCCCATGTACTTGTTCCTGCTCTGCAGCAGATCTGGAAAATTGGGCAAGTTGTGGCCAAGCTGCTGAACAGCCAAATGCATTGTCAAGTCCTGGCTTCCTCTGACAGGACCTGTGGCTGTGTCCTCCTSCTTGTGCAGCTCCACAGCAGGGAAGGGCTGCCCTAATTCATTCCCCTTGCTCAGCTGCTGTAACCTCCAGCTCTGCACCTCCATTGCTGCAGCTCGTGTTAAATGAGGGTTTGTCTAACTTGTCCCCAGACAAACAGCAGAGAAGCCTGGAATCTGGGCTAACTGTGGCACTGCCTTGTACTGGGTAAATAACCCAGAGGATTTAGCATTAACTACTCCCTTCACTTATATGTTTATAAAACCACTTGYTCTGCAAATATTAAGCTTTTATAAAGTTTTATTCATTGCCCTCTTGCAGTGACAAGACTATTTAGGAATAGAAATGTCTCTTTCTGACATTTGCTATTCTTTCACTGTTTATTTCAGCTTCTGTAAACAAAACACACCCGGGACAAAATCACATATCTGTGGTCACTAACTTCAGSACCAGGATTTCAGAGTTCATTTTTACTCTGTCTTCACAGAACAGCATTTCCATTTTTGTACTATTTACTTGTTTCTGTAATGTTATGTTATGCATGTCCTTTTTGCACAAAGTGACTGTATTCTAAAAAAGATTCCCATCTGTTTATGCAATTGAAAGACTATTTTCTATTTCACTGAATACATTTACATTGACTTGCTGCTTTATTGTCACTATACAAACATAGACTGGTTTCAATCTATAATTCTTTGTAACATCTTATCATAGACCAGGAAGCCAAAATTCAGAATGCTCAGCAGTATGAAAACTTAAGGCTGCTTTGTCCAGGCTGTCACCTTGCATTTTAATATGAATAATTTAATTTGTTATTTTGATTAATGTTTGATTGATATTGTTAAATCTCTTTTTGGTGTTCTGCACAAACTTCTCTAGTTTGGGGTCCAGAGTGATTTTGTGTGACCTAGCATAAGCTAGCTGCCACATCATAACTTTACTGAAACATYCTTGTTTCTATRTGCAAYCAGAAACACAAACTTTAGAAAKAAATTTATCTCTTCTTATCTGATATAACTGATACAATTTGCTTTMTAGGCCATTCAGATCAAATATAAATATGCAAAGCCTTTGGATTRTATTTCTTATATTGGTGTTGGATTGTCCATGGCTGGTCTGGTTATTACCATTTTCTTTCAAATATTTACTAGGTAAGAGGGAAGATGTTAAACTGTAAGTGCTTTACAGTAAGTTGCAATATTTTGTTCTGTATATAGATTGAGGAAAACAATTAAAAGTAGCCAGTTTAGAACATATTGCAATGTTATTGATTAGCAAGTAATATTTTAAAAAATAGCTAAATCACATAGCATGGCTTGAGAAGTAAATGTGATTGCTGGTTAAAGTGCAGCCATGAGATGTCTCAGCTGTGCTTTTATCTCAAGATGAAACTCGAGCATTTTTGTTAATGTTATTATTTCAATGTGAGGAAATATATATAATTATATTAATTACACCTTAAAATAATTGAGCTTTRAAAAGTAATGACAGGGTATGAAAGAACTCAGTATGGTGACAGGCCAAGCTCTTCATGGGAACCTTTGGGCTTGGCTGCTGACAGGAGAAACCTTCCCACACTTTGGCAGGGCAATCACCCTGTGTGCTTCTGAGGACCAGGCAAAGGGGTGGTGCTTTTACCATGGGCTCCCATCACCATGTCCAACATCTGGGCAATGTCCCAGGGTGACATTTGCCCCATCTCCATGGGATAAGGGCTGTCTGCCATTTCTTTGCATTCCATGTTCCCAGCTGACAGCTCTGTTACTACCCTGTCAAGGCACAGACMACACAGACCCAGTGAGGCAGCATTGCTGCACAGATCTGTGATGCAGTTGAGCTTTTCAGTTCACTTATCTCACTCAATACTAGGCTTTAAAATTGTGTCACAGTGTTCCTACCAGCATGATCTCCCCCCACCCCCTGTGCATTACAATTTGTAAACACTTATTTTTTTTTTTCTAGCCAGTAGTGGCTTGTGCTACTGTTTTATTGTGAGTGACTTAATACAAACACAATTTCAGCARATTTCCTTGATGGATGTGATTTTCCTGGATGGCTTGTGATTAATGGTGTCCTGTGACTCCCCTCTGRACAATGTGCAAAGTCATGCCAGCAGAGCTGTTGTTATAACAGACAAATGCACCTTTCTCATCCTGCTTGCACTAATGTAGATTTGGAGCAATTCCAACAAGGTTAATGTTTTTATGACTGTAGGAGCTTCCAGACTCTGCCTTTTAAATGCATTTATCTATGATAATATTATATATATATATATATATATATATATATATGTATATATATATGCATAAAACCATACATTTATATATATAAATATATATACTATGGATAATATATGTAATGCCAATTGAGGTGGTGGCATCAGCATCCCCAGTAGCATTTAAGGAAAGACTGGACATGGCACTCAGTGCTATGGTCCAGTTTGTGTTGGTGTTATTCGGTCATAGCTTGGACTTGATGTTCTTGGAGGTCTTTTCCACCCTAATTGGTTCTCTGATTCTGAGATAAGATAAAGTTTGGAAGTGGAGATTTATTATTCTCTTGCACTTTGGCAAATGGTTAAAAATACCTGTTYTGTGCTACTTCACTTCTTAACACTGAAGGAAAGGATTCCAAAATGAGCAGAGGGGAAAAAATAAAATACATCACAAAGTGCTGTTAGTCAAGGCCTAGGTCAAAAAGGTGCTGGGTATTCCCTGTTCTAGGCAAAGTCAGACAAAACTGAGGGATTTGTTAAGTTATCTGAGAGTAATGTTGCTGTAATTCTGCAAACAAGTTATTGTTTCAGTTTCTGTCTGCATTAAAGATTCTACTCTCCAGCTTGCTTTTAATAAAAATAAAAAAGAGAAAATACTTCACAATTTTTCTTATTTTTCTCTGCTTTTTTTTCTCTTAAACATATTCCTACCAATAGGAAAACTCCAAAGTTATCTGTAACATKGATGTTAGCGAGTCTGTTTTTCTATGCTCATTTTAAACATCATCTTCATCTCCGGAAACTGAATTTCCAGGGAGTACAGCAATGATACCACCAGATGCTACCAGTATGATCCTTATGATGCTGCCAGCAACACTTGACTCACCTCTGATGTGGCAGATCCTCCTGCAGACTCCTGCTGCACAGCTTTGGCTATCTCACTGCACTATTTCTTTTTGAATTCTGCACAGTTGTACTTTTTGCTGCTCAGAGCCTCTGCCTGGACACTTCCTGGTGGCCACGTCAGCAATCGGGTGGGGTAAGAGCTAAAGTTGTCCATATGGCAAATTCTACAGTACAGAGGACATTCAGGGAGAGTTGTAAAGATAGGAAATCAGGAGAGAGCAATTAGCATCAGTGTCTCTGGGTTAGTGCCACGTGATTTAATAACCTCCTGCTGCTGCCCACTCTACTAGTATAACCTGAGCTTGTTTTCGTTGTCCTGACAAAACACTCGTAGTCTGATCACTGGTACAGCAACGTTTATCTTTCTGTTGTGTGCAGGAGAAATTTTCAAAGTAATCGAGACATTCAACAATCTGCTTCTTCCAATTATGTAAAAAAACTTTCAGTGATCACATTTGTGGACTGAAATTCCTGATGTAGAYATCTCTGAGATTCCCCATGACCTCAGCCAGAGCCTTGAATACATCCAAAAGCAATAAGTGGCTGATATTATTTGTTATATAGTATTTATTAATAARCAAATAATGCATTCTAAAGTAAATACAGCAGTTAGCAGCAACATTGCAAGCTGAAAGGGAACTACCTGGAGAATGGAAATATTCAGACAGATGCTCACTAGGTAAAGTGAAAATCTCAGCCTCTTGCAAGAAGCTCCTCTAATACAGTGCACAGGAACACCTGTCTTTTCCATATTGCATATTCAGCTTGAGTATTGTGTTGTTTCTGATTGCACCCACCAAGCAGTTKTCAATCCTCATTGTTTCATTATGATGTCTTGCATTTGTAGAAACAATTCCTCTAAAACATTTAGAATTTGGACAGCACATGCAAGCCAGAAAAAGTTCAGCAAAAGCTGCCTGGCTACGTGGCACTGTGCTGCCTCCATACGTATTTGCATGACAGCAATGCATTATGTTCTTCAGGGTGTCTTGTGACAAGTTTCACATGTCCAAACCAGCATGATTCTGATTCACTGCTTTTGGATCTCCTTTGAGAGCACAGTAAATGAGTGGCAATCTGGAAGATCTCTATTAGGGATGAAGAAGGAACAGACTTTAAGGAGCATGTTAATCACCAGGATAAAAACTTGTGCATGAGGTTCCTCCCCATGGGATGTGCTGCCTGTTGAACTGGTAGGCAGATGTGAAAGACAAGAAGTGAAGCAAAGGCATTAAGGAGGCAAACAAGCACAGCCAAGCTTCTTTCAGGGCAATAGTTATGCTCTGCATCAGTCTGGTATGCAATGTAATGGTGTTTGGTGCAAAATGTTCTTAAATTAGTTTCTCCAGAAGGTAGAGGGTAGGGCTGCACAGCTGTGATAAAGGAGCCCACTACAGCCCAGGAGGGACCTTGCTCTTTCACCACTGATGGTGGCTCAGGAAGCTCTATTGAAACTCTTTAATGGCAAAAATCAGCAAGTCATGGATATGAGCTGTCCTCAGGAAAAAAAAAAGCTCACAACCCTCAGTCCTGTCTTTTGTCTAGGCTACAGAAAATTCATTAACTAAATGCAAGGAAGGTGAAACACRGCTCTTAAAATCAATGGAATTTAGGAAACAAGAAGCTATTTATGTGGAAAGGARGTATGCCTATGCACCAAACAATAAATTGCTAAATGTCTGTCTTATAAATTAGGAATCCYTGCTGCAGTAGTACTTGGAGCTACTTACAGAGAAGGAAAAGCTTTGAACTACTGACAGGAAGAATTGTAAGTTCACATATTATAATAACACTTGCTATCCCATGTCTTTTGTGATGGCTTATTAGTAATACACTTGTAGGTTTATTGTTGGTACACTAATTTGTACATCTAAGTCCTCAAAAGAAATAAAACTCTTCACTCAATCTAGACATTCACTAGAACGAAACACATTTTCTCCTCACTAAGGATTTAGGCTACTGGATCTACCTCTGCCCTGAATCCCTCTGCAAGACTCTGCAGTCTCCTGTGATTTGAAATGCCAACTGCAGACACTCTTAGYCTAACTCATACTCCACCCCTTCATTTAAGGGCATAACTCCATTTCATACCTACATTTAATCCTCAAATTTATTTAAGGTCTGGGCATAATATCAATATTTGCCCTGTGGTTTTGGTATAGGTATTCATCTGAGTACCCACACAGCAAAGCAAGCTATCAGGCTTAMAATGTACCTTGGTTATAGTGAATGATATGAATAAAAAGGCATACTTCTTTAGRAAATGTAACACAACCTCCCTTCCACATCGTGGTCATGCTGTGGCACTCATTTAGAGAGTGTGGATTTCTAACTAGAGATTATTTGAAAATGAAAAAGAAAACAGGTAAAGCTTATTACAGGATAACGCTGTTCTTCTGAAATTGTCCTTGCTTTTTCCTTCAACCTTTGTCCATTAGATCTCCCTTATTACTCTTTACTATAAAATATATCCTAAAGATAAATGTGCATGTGATGGCCAGATATCTCTTTGGTTAGTTATATTGCACCTTTTTTCTTTACGCAGTTTGTTTGATGTATAATTTTGCATTTCCCAGAGAAAGAGAAACATGATTGAAAGCTCTCATTTCTCAAGGAATGATTGCCTTTCAGAGCTAAGTTAACAAAACCTAGAAAGCACTTTCAGGATGAAAATTGGAATATTTTGTTTTGTTTTGGTATTCTGAAAAATGTGTCTAACATATCTTTTGAAATGACCTCTCTTTATATTCAAAGTTGCTGGCTTGTGACAATGGACCAAAATCAAATTTCAGCATGCAGCAGTCCATGTTGCCATTCCTCTTGGCAGTAGCACCCACACTCCTGTTTAATATCTTGAYCTTCATCAAGATCAGTATCTCTGTGATACAGAAGGACATGAATTTGATAAGGTGAGATAGCACAGGACTCCTCAAGGCTTTCAGCAAATGTATTCCCCAGTCTCTTGTCATCAGCTCAGACTTTCTTGTCACAAACTCAGAATTTTCACAAAATCTTTTATTTAAAAAAATGTACAGTTTAAGCAGACAGAAAATTATTTCCATTTTTTACAATGGGTTAGACTTTCTTCAAGTGCATATCAATGAACACATTTTAGGCTTTTGTGCCCAGTTTTGGATTGCAGTGTCTCTTGACTTCAATGACAGTTATTCCCATTTTAAATCCATAAAAGTGACAGAAGAGCAGGTCTAGTCCACCAAGAATTATGAATTTCTGAGCACAGCTGAATACCAGGCCAGCTCTCGAGCAGCGTGAAGCAGATTTACTTGCTCAGTTTTTCATAAACATTCCATGTATTGTCACAGGCCAYATGTCACAAACTCTCAGTGTACCTGTATTATTTAAAAATAGATTGCTTTAATTGTTATTAATCCCATGGGACTGATCTGGTCAACAAAAGTTTGTAGCATTTCTTTGTTTCTTTATGTACAATTTTCATGGTTGGAGCAAACAAAATACCTTATSTCGGAGTAGGCTCCGGTTTGAGAGAAACTGGATATTCAAATTTCATGGGAAGCTAATTTTAACCTTGAAAAATAAGTACATTTGGATGAATTCAGAAGCATTCAAAGAAACTTATAGCTGACATGCTAATTTTCAATGTTTCTTGTTGCCTTGGTAAACCTTAATTTTAAAATTTAAAAGATACATCCAGGCTTTATACTCCAAATACAGATTAGTCTGATAAATTTGGTTGTATTTTTTTTTTTGGGTTTCTTCACTGAATGATATATCAAACAAATGTGGGAAGTGTATTTTTACAACTCACCTTAATAATATCTTTTTGCAATATAACCCTGAATAAATAGAAAGTTTAAAGCTCAAATAGATATCAAATTGTAGAGGGAAAGATTTAATAACTTTTTATCTGTGTGTGCACTTCTAGGAGTAAAAAGGATTCATTAATGAAAAATATGATTAGCACTCTCTCTGTAGTGGTAGTGCTCGGGATCACATGGACAATCGGGTACCTCATGTTAATAACTCATGAAAAAAAAAGTCTTGCTTTCAGCTATCTGTTCTGCGTTTTGAATGCTACCCAGGTAAAGTATTTAAAAATTCTGAGACTAATAGCTGAGATTTAAAAAAAGCCCTAGATTTATTTGTCTACAGCTTGGTATAGCATAGGAACTTGTTGGAAAGCAGTTACAGGTATTTGGAATTTTTGTTCAGAGATGCATGCTTCTCTGTCACAYATAAAACTCTTCCCTTTGTACAAATCAATGGGGGATTTTATTTCAAGGTCAGCACTGAAAAGACTGTTYTGTCTGAGTGGCCTCTCTTATACCAAATCATATATAAAATTAGTTTCAAAAAGGATATTGGGGAAAAAACTCTTCTGCACTAGTTATTGGAAAGAGTCCCAGGGAAGTAACCAGAGCTTCATGGCTCGAGGCCTTTCACAGTGATACTGCAAAAAAAAAGCCTCCAGGAAAGTGTCTGCCTCTTCTTTTGCSCCACAGGCCTGCTGGATTCCTGACCTTCTATTCCTATAAATGTCCCTTCATATAAGGCATATGAAATAGTTGGAGTAATGGATTCTTCATTATTACACCACTGGCTATTTTCTATGAAACAGAGGATTGGAAATAGGTGAAAATAAATCATTGCATCCTCAAACATTAAGTTGTTTATTATCAGTTTGATTTACTGAAAACTCAGTGCTTGTACACCAGTGATGACCAGATCTGAAAACTCWGTGCAAAAAGTCTGAGGTGATTATTGCTATGCTGATGGACAGATTATACTCAGGATTTAAAACTGAAATAATGAACAGGAAACAGAGATCCATTTATTTAAAACCATGAGCCTTTTTTTATTTTTTTTTTAACTTGGGATATTACTGGCTAATCCTTGAAATGAGAATTTAGAAAACAAGCTAGAGAAATGTTTAAACCTTTATTCCCTCTGTGTGAGTCTGARTGAAGTGCTGACAGGGCACACCACATTTAATGCTTATGCCATTGTCAGCCAGGTCTTAACCTTCATCCTATCTAGCAGGTAATCATATGATCCTGGGACTTCCTAACTAATCCATTACAATGTGCAAGCGAGGTGTCTACAGTTGGGAATCACCTGCATGGAATACTTTTCCTATTGAAAGTACTTATTGCATCTCAAGTTACTAATGTAATTGCTGGCAGTTACCAAAAATCATTTTATTGTTGATTTTCAAATCAAGTTAAGTTGACTAAACTTTTCTGGTTTTAACAGCAAAATATTTACTCCACACTTTCATTTTTCTACAGGGACTCCAGATTTGTATTTTGTACACTTTCAGAATACCACTCTTCARGAAAAAAGTTTCCAGAGTGTTTCCTGTTTTCCAGGTACCACTGTATCTGCATTTAAAAACATGAAAATGTTTCAAAAATCTCAGCCTGCAAAGCATTCACAGGAAACTTTCAGACCAACCCACACTTTTTCAGACAATATTTCCTTGTCTACCTTCCCTAACCAGAACTGGAAACGTGCAAATATATGAAATACAATCCTGCATCTTTCATGGTTTGTTTTGTACAGCTCTCACAGGTATTTCAAATGACGGACACACTTCTTCAGCTGCWGGTAGCTGGAGATAAATCATGAGCTGAGATCAACAGGAGAAAAAAAGCAGGAARATGTCATTACAAACCAGCCATGCAGCACCAGGGCCTCTTGGTGCTACTTGTACTCCAAGATCTTTGAAAGGCTCTGAGCTAATTGCAGATWTAGATCAATTGCAAATTGATTTTATACTCCAGTACAGATGTACAGAAGTTGCTCTGTTTATGCCTTTTGTATATTCCAGGCCTGTTGAACATGGCCAGTGCACTGTCACTCTCCTCTCCCTTTCATAAACAGAAATTCAATTTAATTAGAAACCAAAAGGTAAATCAACAAGCAGCATAGTTGTAACTACACTGTTACACATGGGACTTTCTGAGTAACTTCATACAAGTGTTTCATCAGTTCTGAAAAGTCCTCCATGTCTTGAAAATCTCTCTATGAAGCAGAAAATAAGTGTTCTCTAGCATTGATAAGCCTCCAAAAAGAGCACTCACATCAGATACAAGGCCAAAGTTCATCACTACTACTCCAGAAAAAGCAGAGGTCATTAAAAATTATCTAGGACAGGTAGTTCAGACTTCTTTTTTTTTTTGGACAGGAAGTTCATGTAACTGTGGGCATCTATTTTTTATTTGTAAATCCAATGTATAATGCTTGCTTTTGTGAATTCCTKCAATTTCCTTGAGAAATTTTCCTTTTGAAATCAGTGTGCATTAGGAAGGTTGACACTTGATTGTGTTGTAAAACACAGCTAGGCACTGTGAGGATGGCTCCTTAAATGAGTGGCAATATTTCCCATTCATTGATTTTTTTTTCCCACAAACAAAAGTCTTCTCTAAACAATATCCCATTTAACTTCAAACATGGCTCTTAAAAAAAAACCCACAAACTAATAAAAATATCATTTCCATATTATCCCAAAAAACAAGCAAGAAACCCAAGACTAATTTGAAGTATTGCATTGGAAGTGTTGACTTTTTTTTTTTTTACTGATTAAGCATCCTGTATCTAAGTATTTCAGATGTGAATAAAAAGTTGTTATAGCCAACATTGAACATATCTTGCTTAATAGAAAACAATTTCAGCATAACCCCACTCTCCCAAAATTATACATTTTACGGTTTTTTTTTCTTTCATCAAGGGGAAACCCAATTTCCCTTTGAACAGAAACAGAAGAAAGTAAAATGATTTTTTTCATGTTATATGCTACATTGCTACAGGAACAATAGTTCAGTTGTTATCTACACGTGGAATGTATTTATCTTCATAGTGWAGTGAACTTTGGTATTGTTTCTGATACGTGGGCTTTAGGGATCATGAAGTTTCTTGCTAATWCTTTGGAAATACTGCTTTGATAAAGAAATGGGTTGGAGAAGGACTAAACCACCAGTACAAAGGTATGAAATATGAGTGGCAGAAAGTATAATGGATAGAAAAGTCCAGTTTTTCAGATCTTTCCTATATCTTGTATAGCAAAGATTTTTCTTTCATTGAAAATGCCTAAATATTTTCTAAATATTTTGTAACAGTTAGCAAAGAAGCCTCATGTACCATGCCCCTCCTCCTCCTTGAAATGCTTAGAATTAAAAATTTGTATCATGTTCATCTTTTCTCATCTCCGTTTCAACTTCTCACCTCTGTTTTCAATCTGCTTACTCCTAGTTGGACCCTTTTCTAGGCAGGGACAGAGCTCTCAGCAGGGACAGATACTACAAGAATCAGACAACTCTTATATTCTTCTTGTCCTGGCAGAAAGCACTGTTTGGAAGCTCTGCTTTTCAAGATTTTAAAGAAAAAGGTATCTTTACAGAAACGCCTTAAACGCCAAGAAACAACTAAGCACAGCTGGGMTTTACATAGTTCTGCATAGGCACCTCTCTCTCGTAAGTACCAGCACAGAGTGGCTTCACTGCTAAACGAACCAAGGCAGCAGAAATGTCAAATATCCCAGAGCAACATGAGATCCAGTTCCCATAACTCTTGAGAGAGGCACTCTTAGGAATCCATTCCCGCACCTTTGGTTGACTACACTCAGGAAATTAGCTGTAGATTCATGTTTTTTTCTCTTTGAGGGAAAAGCTCTGAATGCAAACCAGGATTGAGTGTGTGAGAGTGTGTGAGACAGAGTACGTGACCATGTGTGTACGATAACAGCGAATGCCTGGATGTGGCCATTCGAGGATGAATGGCTCCTGTGTGTGGCAGGCAGCGTCCGACAAGTACAGGGGAATTTTATGGCCCTTTTTTTCCCCCTGAGTACCGCTGTTGCCTTGAAAGGCCAGTTTTTAATAATGACACAGACACGGTTAAGGGGATAAAAAGGGTTTTACCTTGGTATTCGGGATCCCAGGTGCACAACTTGATGGCAGAATGCACACCCGTGTACAGCACAGGTACAAGTTTTATAGGTTTCAGGAATTAGTATATCTATCTAGGATTCCCCAATAAGAAACTTAACAAATGCAGTAATGTCCCCCTATTCTAATGAATCCCCCCCCAGATGAGGCCAGAGCCCAGTTTACACAAGATGTTCTGGACAGAAGGCTTCACCCAAGGCTGGAGTCTCGGGTTTAAGATAGCACAGGGCACACTGACTCCTTCCTCAGGATGTTTGGTCTCTCTGCCCAGCAGAACTCCTAAACTCAGCTGGAATATCAGGCTCCAGGAATTACAAGCATGTGGGCTAAGGGGTACAGGCGGATGCATAGAGGGTAYAGAAAGCGTAAGAAGGAAAAGCAAAAATCATCAGGCATCACCGCCAACCTCTGAAGGCCAAAGCTCATATTTAGAGAGAAACCCTCTGCCAGAGCGTGGCCTCTCTGCGAGGGAGCGCTGAGGTGGCACGGTGAGAAAGACGGAGCCGCCATATTGGCCGCCATGTTGGCCGCGGGGCGGGGGGGGGCGGGGCTGCACGCGGCGGAGCGCGCACGCGCGGGGCTCGCGCAGGCGCGGACGCGCTCCGGGCCCTTCTCTGTGCCCTGCCACGTACGGGCGGTGGCGGCGGCGGCCGGGCCCGGATTCGCGCGGGGCTGGACGGGGAGGCTGCACCGGCGGCGCCGCGGAGCAAGCCAGAGTAAGAGAGCGGGGGCTGCTCCCGGGGGCGGCCGTGTGTGGAGGCGGCGGGAGGGAGGGAGAGAGGGAGAGAGGGAGAGAGAGAGAGAGAGGGGCGGGTTTGGGTTTGGGGTGAGCCGACCGCCCCCCTCCTCCACTCCCACATCGTTCCCCGGTGCCACGGGYGACGCGGCCCCTGGCGGAGGGGCCGGGAGACCCCTCGCGTCCCCCCGGCCTGGGCTGAAGGAGGTGAAGGCGCCCCGCGGCCTCCTGGGCCCGGGGGAGCGGGAGATGCCGAGAAATCCCGGGATCCTTCCCTCTGCACGGCCGGGTGTTCCCTGGGTCACCCACCCCCTCTCCCTTGGGATCCAGAGGAATTGCCGGCTCCTCAYTGCCAGGCAGAGAATGGTTGCGACTTCTGTCCCCGTTTGGGCCAGGCCTGCCTGTATGGGAACTGGAGAAAASCGAAAAGAGCTCTTCTGCTTTCTGTTCCCTCGCTTCACCCCCCAGCTGTGTTGGGAAAAGTCGTGGCTCTCTCGAGTGGCGTTTGAGAGGCAGTCCTGCTTTTCCGTGTTTCTGTCGACTTCACCCTGATCCTTAATCCTGTTTTGACAGGAAAAATTTAGGCAGGGGTGTCTGTCCTTCGCTTGCCTAGGCAAGGCTGTTTTTCTCTGCTGCTGTGCAAAGAGGGTAGTGAAATACAACGTGGTGATGAGATGCTGCGTTTAGAGGGGATCCTGAAGTAATTGACCGAGATTGGACAGTCCCTGACYACAGGCACCACCTATATTAGTGCATGATGTGAATAGGAAGTGAGCCAGGTGAGGAGGAAAAGTCTGTCCCTGCAAAATGCATGTAGTACACCAGGAGGGTTAGAAAGATGTCAATGTGGTTTTTATGGGAAGCAATCTTTCATCTGAAACCAGGAAACATAAATGTTTTTTGTTTGGTTATGCGCCCTCTCCTGTCCCGCCCCCTCCCCCCCATATCAGGAAAATAGACGCGCTGATTCTGTTAAAAAGCTCATTACTGTCCATTCTGTATGTGTTATCTGAAAAACTGTCTCAATGGAGTCATCCATTCAGCTGTGTCACAGTGATGGGAAAAAAGCTTGAGTGCTGTGTAATTCAATAATTTGAACATTTCATATAGTTTTCTGTAACAGTTGCAAGCAGCTGCAGTGTTTAGAATCTGTCTCTTTAAGTCTGGATACCTTCCGGCAGAATGGGGAACATCTGGACCAAAAAAAAGTGCATTTAAATATTTTCTGTTAGCTTTTCATAGTCAGTGATAGTAGGTTTTTGTGAATTGTGCTGGTAAATAAGACATTCTAGTAGCTCCTTTCCTTGCACAAAGATACAGATGATCAGTTCAAGCTGTTGAAAGGCCACAGGAGTTTCAGTTGTGTCCACCAAAATGTGTGTCTTTTAGAATTACAGATGARGTTCGGTTCTTACTGTTAACAGTTTCTGAGTAGCGTATATTGTAATGCTGAAGAAGCAAACCCAGTGCCCAGCTCTAATGTCTAAACAACATGAGGGGGTACCTAAATGAGYTCTGGTTAAACCATTCTTAGATGCATTATCTGGATCTTTGTATTTGTCCAGTGCAGTAAACTTACCTGGAGCTGTAGCAGGAGTGAAAGGGGCACTATCTTCATGCCTTACTCATTTCATGAAACATGAGTGAGGCATCAGAAAAGTAGTCTCTTCCTGTTCACCTGYTTAGGATGTCACAACAGGCTCACCCTCTCACTGTCAAGAGCAGACACAACCCTTTTTAACGGGGAGCATTTCATACCCAGGGTGAGGTGAGCAGCTGCCAGCCTTTGAGAAKCAGAGAGTGGCTTTGTGGCTTCTCTGGCCTTTTCTTGTTCTCTGCCTT